AATACTTCCCGTCTGCCTCAGTGAGACTACAGGGGGAACCATCTATCTTTAAAAATGAAAACCTGCCACCTCAAAGCTTCAAAGGTAACACATTAAAATGGGACAACAAAACAGCTTTCCTGTACTGAAGTGTTGGTGAAAATAAGTAAACAAAGCATATAATTATTAAAGGCAATCCCTGTCACCACAGAGAGGCATACAGATCACAGGCTGATGCATGTAGCTCTTGCAGATCCACAGGTTGTATACAATATTAGCCCTACTCAGAGTAGACCCTTTAATTAATGAGGTTCATCCATTTTAATGGGCCTACTCTGAGTAATGGCCACTGGTCCCATCACCTCCTGGAAAATAGAAGGGGACGAAATGGAGGCAGTGAGAGATTTTACTTTCTTGGGCTACATGATCACTGCAGATGGTGACAGCAGCCACGAAATTAAAAGACGCCTGCTTCTTGGGAGAAAAGCAATGACAAACCTAGACAGCATATTAAAAAGCAGAGACATCACTTTGCCGACAAAGGTCTGCATAGTTAAAGCTATGGTTTTCCCAGTAGTGATGTATGGACCACTGTGAGAGCTGGACCATAAAGAAGGCTGATCGCCAAAAAATTGATGCTTTTGAATTATGGTGCTGGAGGAGACTCTTGAGAGTCCCATGGACTGCAAGAAGATCAAACCTCTCCATTCTGAAGGAAATCAGTCCTGAGTGCTCACTGGAAGGACAGATCCTGAAGCTGAGACTCCAATACTTTGGCCACCTCATGAGAAGAGAAGACTCCCTGGAAAAGATCCTGATGTTGGGAAAGATTGAGGGCACAAGAAGAAGGGGATGACAGATGAGATGGTTGGACAGTGTTCTTGAAACTACTGACAAGAGTTTGACCAAACTGTGGGAGGCAGTGGAAGACAGGAGTGCCTGGCGTGCTCTGGTCCATGGGGTCACGAAGAGGCGGACACGACTAAACAACAACAACAACACTGCGTAAACGTAGTTGAGTACAACCCAGTCTATTTCATTCTCTATTTAACTATAAATTTAGCTTGCTCTAATAAATCCAATGAGAGGTGCCAGCATCCAAATTCATCATACTGCAAAATCACAACATTTAGTCAAATATTTGCCAAGAAATGTGACTCCTCACCAGGACCACCGGGATGCTATTAAAATAATAATAATAATATTGAGGGTATCTGCCACGACCCCAGAGCACTCTAAATTACCAGTCACAACTGCAACCAGAGGTGTCTTGCTTTTTGCATCATCAGCCTCAGTCAGAATGGCCAGTTGACCAGGCATGATGGGAGTTCCAGTCCAGCAACTTCTAGAGGGCCCCCAGATTACCCATGCCTGGTTTAGCGCATGTTCATGCTAGTATTCATTCCCTGACTATTGTAAAACGTACAATTACTCATTTGCTGCATAAGATCTAGTTAGTGTCTGTCCCCCCTCAAAGTTTCTCTTTGTTTGCAGTGATAATGCATTTTCTAAGCATTCAACACATCACATTTTGTAGCTAGGAAAAATTGTCTGATTGCTCAGCCACGGCTTTTGCCATTTTGTGAGTGAGAGAGACACCCACGGAATGCTTGCCTGTGTGACACAAAGGGTGATGAGCAACATCGCCCTCTTCCTCTCCCCGCCCCCAGCCAATGCCATAGTTACTTTTTAACCATACCTACGCTGGATATTCACCAGTTTTGATTTCAAAACTAGCCAGTTAGGTGGGAAGTGATCCACCTAACACAACCAGGAATCACATAGCAAATGGAATGACATCCATGCTTCATGAACAACCAGGTTTGGCTAAGCGGTGCCCTGAAACCAGAGCAGCGCACGGAAACGCCGTTTACCTTCCCGCCAGAGTGGTACCTATTTATCTACTTGCACTTTGACGTGCTTTCAAACTGCTAGGTCGGCAGGAGCTGGGACAGAGCAACAGGAGCTCACTTCGTCGCAGGGATGCGAACTGCCGACCTTCCGATCGGCAAGCCCAAGGCTCAGTGGTATAGACCACAGCGCCACTCGTGTCCCATTTATGGACCTAATAGGTATCTAAAGTCATTTGTTGTATGTAGGTTTTATTTTATTTGTTTTTTATCTTATATTTGGAAAAGTACATCCAGTTTTCTTTTCCTTTAATTTTTTTGGGGGGGCTCCCAAGAGAGTGGAGCCCTAAGCTATAGCTTGTTCAGATTATACGTAAATCTGGCACTGGGAACACCAACAAGTTAGCAATCTTGCCTTCCTAACATTTCTTATCTCTTTCTCTTCCGTTCTAAGGGCACAAACCACCACTTACCAATGCTGGAGCATACATATGGCTGGATTCTTACGATTTTAGAATAACAGCAAACAGCAATATGGCTACACTACGTAACTCCCACTCATCTGTCATTTGTAGGCTGCATTTCATTACAGCCATGCACAGACCCTTCGAACCCAATCCAATGTGTGGCCTTGATTTGCAAATCCAGGTCAGATCTGGTCTGGTCCAGACTGATCTGGACCCATTCTGACCTGTCCCAGATTGTGAACCGGACATAACACTTTGAAAATTACATTAATTTTTATTGCAATACCAAAATGCCCATAATTTTGTTATTTTACCTAAGGGCATGGAATTTGGATACATAGTAGCCCCTAGGGAGGGGACTGACCCTGCCAAATTTCAGATGGATAGCTCAAGGTGGTTTTGTCCTTGCCACAATTAAAATGTGTTTCTCCCCCCCCCCCCCCAAAAAAAGGAGTGGGGAAAAAGAAAGAAAAAGACTGAGTTTGAAATGAGAAGACTATAGTTCATAAAGTCTGGGCATGTATTCACTAATAGTCTGCATAAAAGAAAGAGAGAGAGAGAGAATGCACACACAGGCAAGTCTCTAGGTTTGAGGGTAAGTCAATTATTTAATCATAATTGCGGCAGCCCTTGAGTGCTGTTTTTCTATTGTGTTTGGGAATTTAATATATAATACGCCAGTGTGCTGTATGGTCAAGGTCTGGATGACTGCCACATTGCAACATCTGCTATAAAAGCCATTCATAGATGCAGTTCAGATGAGTCAGTATTCAAAAGACTTTGCATCTTGGAGAGGTGAGCCAGCACTGAACAGTTGCAGAGAACAACCTGTCCTATTCTCCACCACACAACACAGCAGGCATCTCACGAAATCCAGAACAAGGATCAGGGTCACAAAAACTCCATATTCTGGTATAGTTAGAGGCATCAGCTTCGCCCCCCAATCCTTCCCCACCTATCAGAGCCTGATAGGAACATCAAGCTATTCCAAAATATTGTCTTCTGAGAAAATGTAATTTAAATTCCTGCTCACCCCACCCCATTGATATATCTCAGGATGTAACACTCATTTACAAGTCTGTTTCTTAGGCAGGGCATGGACCGGGAGGATTTTTTGACAAGCAAAAGCAAAATGGCCTGATGTGCAAATGTGTTATCACTGTCGTTATAATAAGCAAGGCTCAAAAAACTCCATCAATATTACAGTGTCATATTATTCCTCCATTATAATTTTTGCATTCAATCAATGGATCCACAGATATGCAGGAGAAACCATAACTTCTGATTTTGGCTTGTTATGTTTCGGCAGATATAATTGCAAAAGAATAAATGCTGGACTTATGGGGGCTAAAAGAAACCACCCTTGATGTGAAGAAAGCATTTACATATGCCAGAGTACTATTGGATAAACTTTTAAACCTCACTGAGCAGAATATAAATTTTGTGAAACAAAACAAAACAAAACAAAACAAAACAAAACAATAAGCCTGTAAGTGTTCCAGCAGATGCGGTTCCTACGATGATGGACAGACAGGTAGGTCTTATCAAACCATTGAAAAGTGATTCCTCAAATCTAATGTGATATGCTAAGTTTAATGTTGGTGTTATTACTTAGCATTATTGAAACAAAGTAATATGAAATTATGACTTAAGGTTTTGACTCTTGAATATTTGACAGTTATGCTTTATAGCTTTGAGGCTCTGGAACATTGGCTTGGTATAGAATGTTGATGTGAGGTCTCTGAGAACTGGAGGTGATCAAGAGAAGTAATACAGGTAAAGGTAAAGGTAAAGGTAAAGGGACCCCTGACCATTAGGTCCAGTCGTGACCGACTCTGGGGTTGTGGTGCTCATCTCGCTTTCCTGGCTGAGGGAGCCGGCGTACAGCTTCCGGGTCATGTGGCCAGCATGACTAAGCTGCTTCTGGCGAACCAGAGCAGCGCACGGAAACGTCGTTTTCCTTCCTGCCGGAGCGGTACCTATTTATCTACTTGCACTTTGACATGCTTTCGAGCTGCTAGGTTGGCAGGAGCAGGGACCGAGCAATGGGAGCTCACCCCATCACGGGGATTTGAACCGCCAACCTTCTGATCAGCAAGTCCTAGGCTCTGTGGTTTAACCCACAGTGCCACCCGCGTCCCAGAGAAGTAATAGTACCACTCTATTCTGCGTTGGTCAGACCATGCTTGGAATAGTGTGCCCTATTCTGGGCACCACAATTTAAGGATATTGACAAGCTGGAACATATGTAGAGGAGGGCGACCAAGATGATCAAGGGTCTGAAAACTAAGCCTTATGAGGAACGTTTGAAGGAGATGGGCATGTTTAGCCTGGAAAAGGGGAGACTGAGAGGAGTTATGCTAGCTATCTTCAAATATCTAAAGGAGGGCTCACAAGCAGGGCTCACATACGAAAGTTTGGTTGTGTTTAGACTAACCTTGTGAAGAATATAGAGAACATAAAGATTTGATTGATTATGAAAGGATCTAAGGACGGGAAATGATTGAAGAACAGATGTAAAAGGGAGCAAGACAACTAAGAGACGTGTGGTGAATGCAGTGGAAGTCTTTTATAATACTTTACCTAAGATTTATATATTGCAGTATTTGAAGCAAGAATTTGGTAATATTACAGGTTATGAAAAAAAAAAATTTCTTTTTTCTTTTGTCTTTTTTCTTTATATCTTTTATTTTTCCTTTTTTTAATTAGTCTTCATTTTGGAAAATATGTATATAAGTGTGTTTACAGTGTTATGTATTGTTCTTTGTTTTTCTTTGTTTAATTTCTATTTCTTGAAAAAATTAATAAAAATTAGGAAAAAAACCAAAAACAAATATCTGAAAGGCTGTCACATGAAAGAGGGAGCAAGCTTGTTTTCTCCTGCTCTGGAGGGTATTTCAAGGATATTTCAACTTAACATCAGGAAGAACTTTCTGGCAATAAGAGCTGTTTGACAGTATAGCAGTCTCCCTCAGGAGGTGGTGGGCTTTCCCTTTCGTTCAGGTTTTTAAGCAGAGGTTGGATGGCCATCTGTTATGGATGCTTTAGTTGAGATTCCTGCATTGCAGGGGGTTGGACTAGATGGCCTTTGGAACCCCTTCCAACTCTAAAATTCTATGATTCTAAGTAACATCTTTCCTTACAAAGGGTAACTTACTTGTTTAGGAGGGAGCCTCCCACTCTCCACTTACCTTATTTTTCACTCTATAACACGCACCCGACCATAACACGCACATAGTTTTTAGAGGAGGAAAACAAGAAAAAAAATATTCTAAACGAAACAGTGGGTGTATGATTTTTGTGGTTCATGCTGTGGCCACAGACATGTGATCTGACGGTGAGTTTGGGGTAGCTCAATGCAAAAATCCTGAGGATCCATGTGGATCCGTGCTTTGTAACCACATTTTAGGTGGGGAGGGAAGGAAAAGCACTCAAGGGACAAGGAACACGCGTGGGGTGGGTGGAGAAGGATGCTGCTAATAATGCAGAAGAGGGGTATAAGAGGAGAAGGCTCCTCTCCCCTCCCGCTTTGCTCCTTTAAAGCAAGCAGGCTCCCTGTCCCTCTCTCCTCCCCACTCAGCGGCTCTTCTCCCGCTTTGCTGTTTCAAAGCGAGCCACAGAGGAGGGAAGAGGAACCATGGATCCCCTGCTCACGACTGCAGCAGATCCCCCCGCCATGCGTAGGCATTCGCTCCATAACACGCACAGACATTTCCCCTTACTTTCTAGGAGGAAAAAAGTGAGTGTTATGGTGCAAAAAATACAGTAAATCCTGATACAAAGGGTAGTTCAAAAGGTGATGTATTCAATTTTCAATTTCTTTTGCCTTTCAGAGCTTGTTACGAATATATAGGGTGACTGCCCTAGCAGGACTTACAGTGGTGCCTCGCAAGACGAAATTAATTCGTTCCACGAGTTTTGTCGTCTTGCGATTTTTTTCGTCTTGCGAAGCACGGTGTCGGAAAAGTTTTGGAAAAGCTTCAAAAATCACCAAAGTCTTCAAAAACCTCAAAAAAGGCTACCACACCGTGTGCTATGAGTTGCTCCTCGAAGTCAAGTCGCAACTGTATTAACGGTTTTAAGAAAAAGGAAACAAACTTGCAAGACGTTTCCGTCTTGCGAAGCAAACCCATAGGGAAAATCGTCTTGCGAAGCAACTCAAAAAACCAAAAACCCTTTCGTTTTGCGAGTTTTCCGTCTTGCGAGGCATTCGTCTTGCCAGGTACCACTGTACTACACAAGTGAGGTCAGGTTTTAAGCAATGGTCCTGCTGTAAGACGAGAAAGAAAGAAAGAAGCATGCAGAGGTTAATCGCAAAGCTGAAGAGCAACTTGCTAGGAAGATTAGGAGAAACTGATCCTCCTGTACAACAGTTTCAAAGAACACCAAATTTGTAATTAACAAAAAGAAAATACACGGAACACCACTTCTTATGAAACCTGCAGAGCAAATACTATTATATTTGTGAATAAATTAGTCTGATGCATCTTATCAATGTTCACAAGAACAATGGTGAGTATAAATAGATCCCATTTTTCTCTTTTACCCCATTATTAAGTAATACAACAATTGCCTTGGTTGATTAATGTAATTGCTTAAAAATGTACCTATGTAAACAAAGTGCAAAGTGTCGTTTCCTAGACACAGTGAATGCATGGAAATTAATGCCTTATACATAGAGGCTTCCTAGCTCCATGCCAGCACAATCTGGCGACATCATACAAGCAAGCATTCTTTCATTGTCAGAAGTCAGTTTACTTTGCCATGAATCACAAAAGCAGCTTCAGCCTAACAGATTTCAAGGCATCTGGCAGCACTAGCCAAACTACTGTTGTCTGTAGCTACCAAATACTCATTTCCTTCATTGCTTGTCTGATAAAAACAGGCAATCTCGTTGCAAATGACAGGAATGAATAGCTCTTCATTGCGAGATACGGACATTCACGGCACCAACGGGCTGCCTCTCTGCAGTCTTCTGCTCAAGCTCAGTAATGTCTCTGCTCCAATTGGCAGTGGCCTTCTGGGGTCTCGGTCAAAAGTGTTTCCCATCATGTTACCAGACGTGGGCATAGCCAAGGAGGGATGGGGGGCAGCTATCCCCCCCCAATCAATACAAATCCATACAAATCTGAGGTTCTCCATCCCCTAACAAAAGCCTGTCCCCCCCCCCCAAACAAAAATAATGGCTATACCCATTTTACCAGATACTTTTAACTGGAATTGCCAGGGATCTGGAATTCCAGAGCCAGGGAACTGGAATTCTCCAGGCACATGTGTTCTACCTATTATTTATGCCCTCTTCCTGCTTTTGAAGGAGCTCCCATTTCATTAGCTAGCTGGAATCTGCTTGCTTTTCAAAGGATACTGACCCAGGATGGCTAAGCTGAATCAGCCAATAAAATAATTAGGTAACAAAGACTCAGAGTGTATTTTATATCTGGCTACAGTTCAGCCTACCTATGCAAACCTAGCTCTCAAGGTGTGCTACTTTCCAAACTTCAAAATGCAGCATACAGGTTGCCAGACTGGAACAAAACAAAACAAAACAAAAAAAAGTCAACACTGGGTGTCAGTGAAGCACATCTGTTTGAGCTGTGCCAATGTGATGGCTAAGAGAACTAGAGGGAAAAAAGCCTATGGTTCAAATCATACCACAGCCACAACCTCACTTGGGGATTTTAGGAAAGCCCCAGTTCTCGGCTTAGCCTCAGTGCACATCCAACTCGCAAGTGGAGGATAACAGTGTCCTACCTTAAAGGGTTGTTTTCAAGGTTACTGATATGGCTATTATGTGAAATTCTTTTAAAATATTTTATTCACATTTTCCATAGAATACAAAACAAGATACGGTAACCTTGCAAACAGCAGTAGCAGCAGCAACAACAAAAGGGTCAGATCTCAGTTCTATTATGTTAAGTACTTGAACTTCATTATATAAATGTTATTGTTACAGATTTTGGAGGTTTTCCAGGAGAGATTGGAATACCTGAGATAGCCATTTCTGTTGGTGCTTGAAATAGCTATCACCCCACTTTTTTGGACAAGGATGCATGAGGCATATTTGTAGGAACCAGTAAATACCTACACGGTTTGCCCTCAAGGAACCAATAAATGCAAAGATATTCACAGCGGTTGGCAGATAGGCCAAGGGAACTGTTCTTGAACTGCTTGGTGAATTTCAGTGGTTGACAAGGCTACCGCTAAGCTACACATTAACTCCACAGTGATGCTTTGACCTGATAAAGATGCTGCTTTGCACTTTCATTATTCACTGCTAGTTCATTGCCAACAGTGAGTGCTCCGTATTATCTTCCAGTGTTCTGGAAGATCAAAATTAATTAAGCTTCACAGCCTGTTTCTGTGTAAGTGTTTGCGCTGGGGGAAGGGGAGAGACAAGAAGAGGTGTCCGTTCCTACATGGTAAAGCCCAAGTGTTACACGGCAGGAAGTGTCTTTCATCCCCTAGGATCTCCTAGCACTTTACAAAACACAAAACTAATTAGCTATTGTTTGCTCAGCAGTTACATGGTGCAAATGTATGTGCCTGAAAGCTAAGTATACATTCATTAGCCTTCAAACACTGCAGAGCAAGAAAGCAAGAAGGAGCTGGAGCAAGGGAGAAGGACGCCTACCAGAGTCTACACTGGTATATGACAACAATAACAGAGAAAGAGAGAGAACACACGGCAAAGTTGTTCAACTACGGCCTCTAAGATGTGCAGTAATAATAATGATTAAGGGTTGTATCCAACATAGCTCCAAGTTAGTCACTTAGCAGTATACGTGTTCCTCTGGCAAGATGTTTTGCACCAACAGAACATTGTTGCACAAGTGAATGCATAAGCAGGTTGCTGGTAACTTTGCTACACAACTGCAGACCCTCCAAGTGTCCCTATTCTCCAGGGACAGTCCTGGATTTACAGAAGCTGTCCCAGTTTCTGATCCCGGAATGTTCTGCTTTTCCTCAGAACGTCCCTATTTTCATCAGAGAAATGTTGGAGGGTTTGGAGTTATTTGATCCCTGGACCAAGGAGATAGGTAACTCTACAACCTTTAGAAGACATCTGAAGACAGCCCTGTACAGGGAAGTGTTTTTTTATAATGTTTACTGCTTTATTATGTTCTTATATATGCTGGAAGGGACACGGGTGGCACTGTGGGTTAAACCACAGAACCTAGGACTTGCAGTTCAGAAGGTCAGCGGTTCGAATCCCTGTGACGGGGTGAGCTCCCGTTGCTCAGTCCCTGCTCCTGCAAACCTAGGAGTTCGAAAGCACGTCAAAGTGCAAGTAGATAAATAGGTACCACTCTGGCGGGAAGGTAAATGGTGTTTACAAGCGCTGCTCTGGTTCGCCAGAAGCAGCTTAGTCATGCTGGCCACATGACCCGGAAGTTGTACGCCGGCTCCCTCAGCCAATAAAGTGAGATGAGTGCCGCAACCCCAGAGTCGGCCACGACTGGACCTAATGGTCAGGGGTCCCTTTACCTTTACCTATATATGCTGGAAGCCACCCAGAGTGGCTGGGGCAACCCAGTCGAGATAGGTGGGGTATAAATAATAAAATTCTTATTCTTATGGAATAGGGCATCCCCATTTTCATTGGAGAAATGTTGGAGGGTATGCAACCAATTGCACAATCTGTTGTGCAACATGTTTCTGCAAGCACAACTGCATAACCAGGGTGGAGGAAGGGGAGATGCACTCTGCTTCAAAGAAAAGTTATCAAACCAACTCTGACCTTTAAAACTGTGACTTCTGCATGGGTTTCATGGGACTCCATCTCCCCAGGCAGTCCACACAGTCCTGCTAGAATGCTCCTTTAGGGTATTCCTGTAGTAGCTGCAGATACTAAGACTGCTTTCCTGATAAAAGTCATGATGCCTCCTTTTAAACTGGGCAACCGTCCTTCAGTGCTCTTGTGTCCCTGGAACTCACCCTTGAAAAGTGACTGTGGGTTGCTGTGTTGTTGGGTTGCCCCCTCCGATTGTTTTGGTGGCAGTTATTTTTTATTTTATTTTTTCACACAATGAGTCAAAGACTTTATTAGGTTTCAAGGAATGTGATACATCATGACATAAACAGCTACGTAGCTCAGCCCTGTATCCAGAAATCATAAATGGAGAGCTCAGCCAAGCTTTGAAGCCAAATCAGGGCAATTGGTAGCCAACCAACTTGTAATGGGCTCCGCAGGAGGGGCAGCGCTGGGGATTTCCCTTGTGCAGCCAGAACCAGATCACAGTGCTGTTGTCCTCTTCACAGATGCAGCCCACAAGCCTCTTGTCTGTAATTGAAGGGACTATGTTGGGGTCTTCCTTTGTTCCAGCATATCGTTTGGGTGGTAGCATGTTGTAAGGATCCAGCCCCTTCTCTAAAGCTTTCATGGTTTTCCTCTCCATTCCTGTAGCCTGTTCTTCATCACTGGGAATACCTCCGGCGCCCATGGAGCGGGCGGCCCCCGTCAGGCGCAGCGGCCCCCGGCCCAGGGGACTCCGGCCCGCGCTGAGGCCTCGCAGGGCCCCGCACACCCGCAGTAACCTTGACGCCATGGCAACCCTCAGAGCAGAGAGAGAGAGAGGCGCAGAGAGGCAGCCTCCCCACAGGATCTCTTCTGGTGGCAGTTATTTTAAATTATGTATTATGCTTACTTTTATTTTTAAAAAGTTTTTTTGTTTTTAAGTACCCAGATAGAACTTTCAAAGATGCAGTGGGTTAAAAGTCTATTTCTCTACAAATTCAGTTTTAAATGTGGTGTATTTTATGAAGTCCCATGTAACCACCAGAATGGTTACAGTACTCAAATTGTAAGGAATGAAATAAAACTAAACACTTTGTGTGCATTATCTTCTGGAAATCTGCACAACAACCTTCTAACGAAAACAATTAAAATAAATCCCTTATTGCAGGCTGGATCTGTAAAATAGCATCTTGCCTAAGGCCACCTAGGGAGCCCATGGAAGAAGACATGAGCCCATCCTAGGAAATTCCTGACTCATAACCATTAATAAAGTAAAGTGTCAGTGCTGGCTGAAACATTTCAGCATTAAAGGCAGAAAATGCAAATTGTACCCACAGCAAGTAACAAGTGGCCTGATCCACTGGCATGAGTTCCTCTGTGCAAGTGTCATTTCCAAAGGGTAAAGCACAAGAGAACTTCCTGGCGGACCATGCTCCCAGGTCAGATATGGACACCCCCCCCCCCATTCTGCTGCACCCTGAAGGGTACCCAGACAAATTAGAGGCCCCTGGCAGCAGCCGCAACCTTGTCTCACAGTAGGACAGCTTCTACAAAAGATGCAGGGAAGAGAGAAGCAGAGGACAATGAACAAGAACGCAGAGCTCTTGCTCAACACAGAAGGACTAAGAAACTCTCCTCTCTCAGCCTGGGTTTGATCCTTGCTATATTTAGATTTTACTCGGGAGGCTCAAAAGCTGCAGCTAAAGTCTGTGGGAGGCAAGGCTGGCAAAGCCTTACAAATGCTTCCTCTTTAATCTCCCAATGAATTGCCTGCACAATGACAGAAAGACTTCTTGTCATGGTTTTTTTTTGCGGGGCAAAGGATCGGTGGCAATTCTTGGAACCAGTAAAGCATTACCCACTGTCTTGCTCATTTTAATTCTAAGAAGGCTGTGTCCTATTTTACAAATGGTACAAAAAGCTTTCCCTTCTCTGTGGGGAAAGCTGCTTGTTTTGAGCAGAGCTGGAGTTTAATTTGGGGCAGACATATGCCACCATTAGGCTGATGTAGTTGTCGCACTTCTGTCAATCCCTTCACCTTTGCAAACTTTGTTTCCAACAAGCTGCTCAGCAATCAAGCACCATGTGTCACGCTGAATTCTTAAATGAGTGGTCCCTTGACGAAGTGGGCCTATATTAAACAGCTGAGGTCTTCAAGACAGCCTCACCCGTTCAGAGAAATCTGTTTTTCTTTGCATAGAAATCATAATTATTTGTTGTGGTAGTTGACACAAGAGAGAAGATCACGCATGCCATATATATTTAACTATATTAAAAGTTAAAATAAATATTTACCCTTGATTAAACCACTTTCTCTTACAATAATGTAAACCTATCCCACCAGCAAGGATAGCGCTGCATCACCACCCCAGTGTTAGAAACTCAGATATAAACGCTAATAGTCAAATGGCACCTTAAGCCTGGAATGTCTAGGTGACATCCCACCCCCCAGTTAGATTTATTATTTTTCTTTTCATTTCTATATTGCTTTATATTTTAAAGAAAACTCAAAGAGGTTTATAACACATTAAAACATAAAATAAAGCAATACAGAATCAAACAAATTCAAGCTTCAAGGAAAATATTTCAGATCCTTCTCTATGTGACATTTTGCTTTCCCCTTGTTTATTTATTGACCTACTTATTTTTTATAGCTGTCCCATTGCAGAAGAACTCTAGGAAAGTAGTGTGGTGTAGTGGTTAGAGTGTCGGGCTAGGACCTCGGAGATCAAGATTTAAATCTCTACTCAGTCATGAAACTCACTGGGTGACCTTGGGCCAGTCACAGGCTCTTATTCTCCCTCACATGGTCATTGTAGGGATTAACTGAGGAGGGGAGTGAACCATTTATGTACTCTTTGGAGGAAAAGGTGGGATAAAAATGCCTTCTTAAGAAAGCTGGAGGGGGCAACCAGATGGAGATGTCAGTGGCCAACCTGGCATCCAAAGACCTCCATGTGGTCACAATTGGACCCACGCCAGTCACAAAATGCACCTGGGAAATTTCTAACGCTGCACCACCCACAACAGTGAGGAAAAGTTAGCAGTTTGTAAGTCCTTTCTACATTCAGGGCAGGTTTCCAATGTTTACTCATTATCACTGTCCAGATACTAATTCCACCAAAATGGGCAAGTGCCTTTATCAATCCAAAGACTTCTTAAACATTTCAACAGATAAATCACACAATTGTAAATGCATCACCTACATTATAATCTTAAAATTATTGATGGAACAAATGATTTATTATCTTCTACGCAGCTTATACAAAACCAAAGGCCATGGCCCTAGGCTGAGATTGGAAAGTATAACCGCGAAACAAAACAAAAGCTATTGATGAAAGGGCAGAAATAAGAGCTGAGCTTTCAGCTTAATAAGACCCAGCATTTGAATTAACAACATCATTTGTCAACAAGAAACCTGAACACTAGAGGCTTTCTCACCATAGAAAAGACAGAGGAGGTTCAGATGAACCTCCCCTGATCCCACTTATTATAGCATAAAATAATAAATGAGAAGCAACATTCAGGACTGCACAATTGTTCTGCAAAAGGCAGAGTAGAGAAGGAGATCCCTGGTGCTGCTTTAAGCACTATCATAATGGAGAGAATGATTACTGTAATTGTAACTCATGCAGTGAAGCCTACACTTCAGCTAATGAGGCGCCAATGGATTCGCAATGCAAGCCACCCAAAGTCTGCCCAGAGCTATGCAACAGCCTGGACGGAGCATCACTCACACATGCAGAGCAGAGTTAGAAACTCAGACATATTAGCTGGGCATCAAATGGCCCCTTAAACCAGGGTCACAGTCACCAAAACAAAATGTCTAATTGCCATTTGGGGGTTAGACGGCTCAAAACGTGACTTTTTGGTTCCTGAAATTCATTTTGATTGTGCAGATAAAATGCCATGGACAGAATTCTAAAAATCCAAGGATTCCCAGGCATGCACCTCCAGTTGGTAGAGACATCAGTCACTATCCTGGCACCTGGGCATCTTCACTTGGTTGCAAGTGGCCAAAAGCCAGGTGCAAAATGTGCCTAGTGATTTTTGAATGCTGATGCAGAATATGCAGGGTAGCGAAGTCAGCCAACAGCACATCTGACAACCTTTAGTATTGACCTTTAGGGAGACACAATGCTGCAGAGAAGCATGAAATGAATTTAAGAGATTGCTACCTAACTAGTTACTTGCCACCTGATCAGTAGTGGGACAGCAATATTATCACAAACAACACAGTTCAAAAGGAGAAGGTAAACACTCAGTAATAGAGCACCAGAAGGTCTGGGGTACAATCCCTAGCATCTCCTGGTAGGACTGGGGAAGACCTTTGGGGAGATGTTGCTTGTTGGTTGTTGCTTTGGGGAGATGCTGTTGTTCTGGCTGGGGCTAATGAGACTTGGAGTTCAATAGCAGCTGGCCAGTCACAGGTTCCCATCCCTGTATTAAAGGATAAAACAGTCCTTGCCTCTATCTAACAGATAGGATACAAAAGGAACAAGGAATAAGAAGGGAAGAGACACCAAGCTCTGGAATAGCTGCTGCTCTGTTGGTCTATGGATGGAACCAGGCAGGCCTCCCTCTTGTTGTTGTTTAGCTGTTTAGTCGTTTAGTCATGTCCGACTCTTCGTGAACCTATTAACCAGAGCACGCCAGGCACTCCTGTCTTCCACTGCCTCCCGCAGTTTGGTCAAACTCATGCTGGTAGCTTTGAGAACACCGTCCAACCATCTTGTCCTTTGTCGTCCCCTTCTCCTTGTGCCCTCCATCTTTCCCAACATCAGGGTCTTTTCAAGGGAGTCTTCTCTTCTCATGAGGTGGCCAAAGTATTGGAGCCTCAGCTTCGGGATCTGTCCTTCCAGTGAGCACTCAGGGCTGATTTCCTTCAGAATGGATAGGTTTGATCTTCTTGCAGTCCATGGGACTCTCAAGAGTCTCCCCCAGCACCATAATTCAAAAGCATCAATTCTTTGGCGATCAGCCTTCTTTATGGTCCAGCTCTCACTTCCATACATCACTACTGAGAAATCCATAGCTTTAACTATGCCATGTTGTTATTCCTGGGGTGTCGGGGTACAGCCTCCTTGGGCTCCCTGAGGCCCTGGCCAATGGCATAGGCCAGAGCTTGCTTCCCTTTGATCCTGCAGTTCTAGGGTAACTTTGTCCCCCAAAGGCTCAAACACAATCCAATCTCACAATCCTGTTACAAGCAGCATCTACCTATCTTCCCTGCAGCCAAGCAATCGTGAGCCACCATGATGATATCTGTTAATCAGCAGGCGCTGTTTATGTCTTGTTTATTTTCCTGCCAGTGTTATAAACGGGAAGCTGGAAGGGAGCCTTTATTTCGCTGTTAAAATAAACTAATCTTGGGGCTTCTTAACGTGTGCCTTTCATCAAATCCTCCAATTAGAGAGTAATCAGGTATTTAATATGTATCAAGCTGCTTGGCGAGACATGATGCTGCCACAGTGGGGGTATGAAATTACAGGCAGAAATAATGCTACAAGTCTTCACCATTACAGCACAACAAGAGCGTAAAACTGTACAACCTTTCAGCTCAAGAATGTTTGCATTGTCATCCACTGCCAAGGCTGAACTGTACTGTGGTTGTTTTCTTAATGTTGGAAATGAGGACATCAGGAATAACTTTCTGACGGTAAGAACCGTTCGATAGTGCAACGGACTCCATTGGGAACTGATGGACTCTCCTTCCTCGGAGGTTTTTAAGCAGCTTGGAAGGCCATCTGTCATGGATGCTTTAGCTGAGATTCCTGCATTGCAGGGGGTTGGACTATGAAACAATGACCCTTGGGGTTCTTTCCAACTATGATTCTATGAATGCAACTAGAGATAGGCTCCAAGTGCCTGTCAAGTTTAACCAAAAGACAAAAATGATGCCGTTTTAGACAAAAGGAAGCAACTGACAGCACAGGTCGCCAAACCATCATAAAAATATTCAGATTGCTGATACCCTCTTGAAGCCCTTGGGAGCCCATAGTATTCCTAGAAACACATGCTGCCCAAACCTAAGGAAAAGCCAGATTTCCTGGCTCCCAACTGCCCTCACACTTCATGTACTAGGTCCCTCCTAGGACAATAACAGAAAGTGGTTGAGATGCTCACTGAACATCTTCCGTCAGCAACAGCAAAGCAAGGAATCTACAGCACTGAGTCCATGTTGATTCCGACACAGACTTATGCTAATCCATGACACAAGAATGAAAAGGCTCAGTTGCATATCGGGATACTTCTGATGAACCTAACGGCTGCCAAAACAAAAAAACCCAAAAAAAACCAAGATTAGTGATTCACAGACCAGGATTTCATTAACATTTTGTGCCAGTTTTCAACTGGGAAATCAAACTAAGGCATGATGGGGAGAAGAAGCATGCCTTGATAAATAAGCCCCTATACTGAATTCACTCACAAACTCATGCGCACCAGAGCTCATGTGGGCAGCAGCACCATCTCAAGGGCAGTGTTCGAAACTCCCATTGTTCTAGGAGCATTTTGCGACAGTGAAATTCATTAGCATGAGCAGTTTCTGAGCCTTGGGCGCAGTACTACGCCTAAGATTTCAGATTAAAACTGCAGAGTGGAAGGAAAGGAGGAACTTTTTCTGGCTCCCCATTTCTACCCACTCTCTGAAGACTAGAGAAAAGACCCTCTTAAGAATATTGGGGGGTAGGTGGGCAGGGGAAGGACTAGACCATGTGAAAAATGAACATAATATTTTAGTTGCAGTTCATTTTCAGCTGTGCATTCTTGTTATAAAAAAGCACATCTAGACATTCCGTTGTTGTGCCCATAACCTAGGTTTAAGGTGTCATTCAGCTCCTAGCTTTCCCATCTCAGTGAGGGGAGAGACCCCATCCGGCAAGGCCTCCTTCCACCTGCCTTGCTCCACCCTCTGCTTCTCAATTGTATTGTACAATTGTATTGTATTGTTTTATGTACTGTGGCTTGCCGTTGTTTTATTGATTATAGTTTAGATACTATTGTAACTGTTGAGTGGATTTCTGTTTAACTTTTATATGTTGATATTATTATTTTATACTATTCTAACGATTGTTGAATGTTACTTTTTTGATGGAAGTTGCTTATTTTAAAGTTATGTTTTATTATCACATTTTTATAATGCATTAGATTGTTATAAGATGTACATTTTTTGTTTCTTCAGCTTGTAAACCGCCTTGAGTATTGTAAGACAGAAAGGCAGTATACAAATTAAAAATAAAATAAAAAATAAAATAAAAATTCTAACACTGCTCAAGAGTGAAAGTAACAATGCATCCTGAGTCCCGGGTGCAACCTTTGTTATGGCTATCAGGCATCAAGGAACCATAGAATTGCACAGTCGGAAGGGATCCTATAGGTCATCTAGTTCCACCCCTTGCAATGCAGGAATCTCAACTAGATCATACAAGACAGATGGCCATCTAACTTCTGCTTTAAAACCTGCAGGGAAGGAGAGTCCACCACCTCTCTCTCTTTTTTTTTTAAATGATATTTATTAAAGTTTCAAAAGAAGGATACATAAATAAGAAAAAGAAAAATAGAAAAAAGAAAAATACAAAATACAAAATACAAAAAAATAACAATTAAAAACAATTCCATCTTTTCATCACTTCTCTTTCATTTACTTGTTTCCCGGACCACCTCATACCTCCCTTTTTTGTATTCCAGTTCAATTTATTAGTTCAGCAATTCCTTTCCCTCCTTTTTAATCCTGATCTTTAATCTTAATATTCTTTTATACCATTACAGCTAGAAACCATTTAACTTCAATCCAACATCATTCTAACATTCATTAATTTTGCAATATTTCTGTAAATAGTCTTTAAATTTCTTCCAATCTTCTTCCACCGACTCTTCTCCCTGGTCTCGGATTCTGCCAGTCATTTCCGCCAATTCCATGTAGTCCATCAATTTCATCTGCCATTCATCTGCCACCTCTCGGGGGTAGAAGCCAAGACAAACACCTCATCTCTGACCCCTGACTAGCTGGGCAAAGGGGACAGCAGGACGCTGAGAATAAATATAAATTGACCTCCTTCTGCAGTTGTAGGGAGCATGCCTGCCCATTGATCTGGAAGCTGGCTGAGAAATCAATGTGCACTTTTTTTTAAAAAAAAGTGCAGGACTTAAACATTCTTCCAATTTTAGTCGGGGGTGGGGTCAGATATCAAAAGATGTAGGAAACACTGTAATTGTCATTTATCCCTCGCAAACCAGCACTGTGTGTCTCCATGCCTTCTCAAATACCCATCTTTCAGTTATGCTCAGCAATAGCACACATCCCTGGGTGAGCTTTCTCCTCCAGTCTAACTACAGTGGTACCTCGGGTTAAGAACTTAATTCGTTCTGGAGGTCTGTACTTAACCTGAAACTGTTCTTAACCTGAAGCACCACTTTAGCTAATGGGGCCTCCTCCTGCTGCTGCTGCGCCACTGCCCGATTTCTGTTCTCATCCTGAAGCAAAGTTCTTAACCCGAGGTACTATTTCTGGGTTAGCGGAGTCTGTAACCTGAAGCGTATGTAACCTGAAGCGTATGTAACCCGAGGTACCACTGTACACTAAGGTTACCAGACATCCCCGTTTCCTGGGGACAGTCCCCAGATTTAAACATCAGTCCCCATACAAAATCCATTGAAGTTGAAAAGTGTCCCCGGATTCACTGAAAAAAATCTGGTAACCTTAAACTACACTTCCCAATCAGTTGTGTAAGTACTACTGATTTGACACAGTTGTGTAACTGGACCTTTTCACTTATAAAGGTAGAACCTTTGTTGGCACTCTGCAACATCAGAGCACCTTAGCCAGTAACTGGAGGCAGAGAAGGGGAGGTGATGGGAGGAAGAGGAGCTTGCAGGCAACAAGTTGGCAATTTTCAGTTTTGCATGCTCTACTCAAAGCTCAGGAACATGACCGTCTTCCATTTAGCCCCGTTCTGGCTGTTCTAAGCCCCACCTGGATCCCACCACCCCTCAATGTTAGAGTTTGAAACTTACAATATTTTTCTCTCGCAGAAAGGCTATTTCAGTCATTGCAAAACCTTCATTCAACCCAGACAGAAAACTGCGAGAATCACATTCTTTTACTGCTAGCTTGGCCTGGATGACTCACTCACACTGCAACAGATCATCCCTAATAGACAGAGAAGCAAGGCTTGCTTATTATACCTGCATGCTACCCTGAAATAGGTTTTGACTTTGCCTCTTAAAAATTATGCATTTTCTCTTCCACTTGCTTATTGTTCGGCCAAAGGAACTGCCTAGACTCAGCAGTTAAGAGTTAGATAGATTCAATTAAATGGATAAGAAATAAATCATACCCCTCAAAACCCAAAAAACCCATTCATTAACAAGAGGAATGCACACTAAAAATGCACTTCCCTACAAAGATTGAATCCCCACCTTTTCTTTCCTTTTTTGCTTTTTCTTCTTCTTTGCTTGGGGCCTTTATTAAGGTCCAGGCATTGTATACTCATGGGGGTGGCAGATGGTTGATGGAAGACTCTGGGTGGGAGGCAGGGAATTGTCAGACTCCCAGGGTAAGAGGCTGGGAGGAGAAAGGAAAGATCCCAAGTGAGATCTGGGAGGAGCTACTACCTCTTGTGGGCGGTAAGGTCTAAGACAGGGGTCAGCAACCTTTTTCAGCCATGGGCCGGTCCACCGTCCCTCAGACCATGTGCTGGGCCAGACTATATGGGGGGGGGATGAACGAATTCCTATGCCCCAGAAATAACCCAGAGATGCATTTTAAATAAAAGGACACATTCTACTCATGTAAAAAACACACTGATTCCTGGACCATCCGTGGGCTGGAATTAGAAGGCAACTGGGTCGGATCCAGCCCCCGGGCCTCAGTTTGCCTACCCATGACATAAATGATAGAATACGCTCTCCACACGAAAAACATTCTCTGCACAATTCAAAACCTGCAAAATTAAGCTGTCAGGTTGCTCACTGGGGCAAGATGGTTTGAGCATAAAATACCAATCCTGGCCCAATTGCACTGGGTGCCAATTAGTTTCTGGGCCAAATTCAAAGGGCTGGTTCTGACCTACAAAGGCTTTTTAAAAGCCTCAGCACCATAATACCTCAAGGATCACTTCTCTCTATACAAACCTACCCAAACCCCGCGATTGCCCTTTCACAAAAGCATCTTCACTACATACCTTTAGGTGCCAGGCAAAAACATTCCTCTTCTCCCAGGCCTTTGGCTAATTAAACCACCTATGACATTTTAAACTGGAGGGGGGGTATTGTTTTGTTTGTTATTATGTTACGTATTTTTGTGTTTTATACTGTAAACTGCCCAGGGAGGTATAGAAATTTAATAAAAATAATTATTATTTAAAAACTAGCATCTTTGCCCAGGACATACTAGTTTTCTGTGTGAAAAGAATTATCCCTGAGTACTCCTCCCTAATCTACCCCCCCTCCTCCTTTCACATAGGGAATTTGCATGTTACCCTCACAATGGTGTTTGCAGACCATGTAGCTATTATTTAATATATTAAAAAATTAAGCCACCCTATCTCAGAGGCTGAAAGCAGCTTACAAAAAGAGAACAAAACCCCAAGAGAAAAAGATCACACTATATTTCCATTGTGTTGCAGTTTGTTTTTGTGAAGAAACAAGGCAAGAATAATCCAGCGTTAGTCTTCCCTCTGCAACTCCTCCCCAAGCCCTCCAATCCTTACATCACTGCAGATGCTGTTTGCATCCTAGTCTTCCCATATGGCATTTATGTCATAATAAACAAGACATTCTTTTCCTTTGCCCCTCTTCCATCTTTCCAATAAATTAAACCTCTCCCCTTTTCCATAGGACAGAACATCCGGCATTATTTAGCACCAACAGTGCATTAGGTGTTTACAAAATACCGTACACTGTGGGGTGTCAGAGTCCAAACAGATTTACAGATATGGCAATGGTTGAGGGCAGTGTTGAACAAAGAAAGGAGTTGTGCAACTGTGCATAAAGGGAGGTTATGGGTGGCAGAAAACTAGGAGTGGTCCAGGAAAGGCTGTTATAAAGTTATGAAAAGAAAATGGGTTTTGGAAATATTTCAATCAGAGGAGGGAGTGGGTTTAACAGTGAGTGAGCAAAAGTTCAGCCCAGGGGAGAGCATGGCAGAAAATACAAAGCCCCAAAGAGGAGGAAACAGGGGCCCAAGAACAAATGAGCCTGAACTGTGCAGATAAAAGAAATAAGGGAAGGAAGGGAGGTGCTGAAGAGTTACAGAAAATGCTTTTGCAGAATTGAGTATGAAGCCCTCTTGTTGCCCAGACCCTACTTTCTGACAGCTACATTCCTTGAGCAACTGGTCCTTGCGATAATAAACATTATTATTATTATTATTATTATTATTATTATTACAAGGAAGGCTTCCAGAGGAAAAGCCCCAGATAGGTAGAGTAAGAGAAACTTGGGGCCAACTTCTACCTTGCCCTTTTGCAAGTCCCATGGCACTACTAGTTTTGCTCCACTCAGTCTTATCTCAACCTGTCTGACCACAAATCAGCAATGGTGGCTCAGTCATACCATACTTAACAGTCCTTTTTCTCCTCCTCCTCCTCCTCCTCCTTCTCCTTCTGAAAAGGAGCCAATATTCTATCTCTCTATGAGTGGTTTTGCTCCAGCATTAGTTCCTTGTTATGTATGAACTTTCCCCCTTTCTACATTGCAGTGACTTGGTTGCACTGGAGTCCTTTATTTGAGTTCCAACAGACCTGTCTCCTGACCTGTTTGCCACACAGCTTCAATGGAGATTTGTCCTGGGGCCGCTTTTCCTTTGGTGATCACTTGTGGCCGAGTAAGATTGTCTTCCATGAACACGGTCTTAGCAGTGAGTCCGTAAGTGACTGTGGAGGCCAATTCTAGATCCACACATCCTTCCACTGTGGGGACATAGGTTTCTGAGCGGGAGTTGATCACGGTCAGGGTTTGCCAAGCATGCCTTCCTCTTAACACATTTCTCCCTTTCGTCCTGAATTTGAACCTTTAGATGTGAAGGAGACTCTTCATGCACCTGACCACACCAGGCAATCAAGGCAATGGTGTGAGTGTATGTGTGTCCCAGTGAGGGGGGTGTGTGTGATGGCAATGGTGGGGGACTGCAGGAGCAGCATCACTTTGGATGAAGAGCAAAATGCTGGACCCACAAGTCTCCTTCCAACATGCTCCCCCAGCCAAAACGTGAGTAACACATGAAGACGGCTACTGAGAAAAGCTATTGTCGTTGACCAGATTTGCAAGTGCTGCTGGCTGGTTTCTGTTTCCAGAAAAAATACCAGGAGTTGCCAGAGAAAGAAACACTGTTTGTTCCAGAGAGGAAGCTGTTGGTGAAGGTGGGAAGAGAGGGGAGAGATACTTATTTGAGTGCCACAATGCTTCTGTTTGCCTGTAGAGGAGAAAAAGACTTATCATCTGATTTAGTAGATGTGAATGACAAGCAGATTACGCACGGGTACAAAGCATGTCCAAGTGTGCTATGGCAAAGAGCCTGGACACCTGCGAGAGTATACATGATTGCGCTTGTGGATCCAAGGATACACTTTGTTTGCATGCACAAGGAAGGAAGTATGCAAATACGCCAAAGCATATGTGAGCGAGACAAGACTGCACAGGCAAATTCAGAGCCCAGAGGCCACAATTTCCCCATTCCCAGCATGTCATTAGGGGACAAGTAGCTCTGGACAGAGTTAAGCCTCTGATGTCTATAAATTGCTGCAGCAACTGTTAATTTGAATGATGGAGACAGAGATAGAGATACAGGAACAGAACACTCTTCCTTCTCCCTATCTCTCTATCCCCCCCCCCACTCCCCAGGTTACAGATTAATTCAATTCCAGCCGGTGCTCTCAGAAGTTAGATAATTTCATGGTGGCTGTCACCACCCACAGATCAGATACAGTAAAGCAAAGCTGTTAAGTTAGAGAAGTGTTTCGGAAGTGTGATCAGAATGGGAAACCTGGAGTGTGTGAAGGGGAGCCTTCAGAGGTGGGAAAGAGACAGGCAGCAAGAGCGAGAGGAATTAATTCACTTAACAATAACTCCCTGAGGAAGAAACCTCCAGCTACCACACACCATGCTCAGAGCCAGGGATGGAGCCCAATATAGCGGGCAACCCAAGTGGGCTAATATCTGCTGCCTTTGGCTAGGAATGGCAGAGCAGGGCTTTGTGGGGTGTGGCCTGGAGCAGTGGCGGAGGAACACTCTCCGGCACCCGGGGCGGCGCAGCCCGTAGGGACTGCACATGTGCGGCATCCTGCACATGCACACTCTGTACGGAATGCCTCACATGCACAGTCCGTACCAGCTGCTGCTTGTGTACTGCAGCCATATGGGCTGCCATGCGAGCAGCATCCTGTATGGACTGCGCATGTGCGACGACCGTACGGGCTGCCACTCATGTGCAGCGGCCCGTACAGACGGCGCACCAGAGTGGCAGCCCGTACAGACGGCATGGCCTACTTTTGAAATGTTTCAATCTAAGCCCTGATGTTCCATCTATAGTTTCATTTAAAGTCGCCCTGTGTTGTGCACCTTCAAACAGCATTCTTATACATTTGTTTTTCTCTATTTGTTTTTCTGCATTCAAACTGTGAATGCAAGTGTATTGTGCTCACGCACAATTCAAAGTGCTGGTGCTGACCTTTAAAGCCCTAAACGGCCTTGGTCCTGTATACCTGAAGGAGTGTCTCTACCCCAATCGTTCTGCCCGGACACTGAGGTCCAGCGCCAAGGGCCTTCTAGCGGTTCCCTCGCTGCGAGAAGGCAGAGGGCCTTCCCAGTAGTGGCACCTGCCCTGTGGAACACCCTCCCACCAGATGTCAAAGAGAACAACAACTACCAGACTTTTAGAAGACATCTGAAGGCAGGCCTGTTTAGGGAAGCTTGTAATGTTTGACGGACTATTGTATTTGAATATTTTGTTGGAAGCCGCCCAGAGTGGCTGGAGAAACCCAGCCAGATGGGCGGGGTATAAATAATAAATTGTTGTTATTGTTATTATTATTATTATTAGGGACACAGCTAACATTTGGTGGGGGGAGTATATTCTAGGCAAAATGGCCAATCAAGTCACATTATACTTATGATTCCCAATGTGGCACCATGGCAATCTCACACAGCTCCTTGGTGCATGCCCAGACCCTTTGCCCCTCCCATTTTAAATGAAATTTTTGAGGGTTTATCTTTTTAACCGAGGATGCTGCTGAAGTGACTGGAAAGTGGCACGCAGGCATCTTATGACACCTTGACCTGTCTCTGGATCCTACCTGGGGCCCATAGGGAAGGAAGAGAGGGCAAACAAGCTAGAGGACACCAGCATCCCTCTCCTGTCCCGAACTTGTTTTAATGCTCCTGTCTTTGCTGCAGGGGCCCTGTCTGAGAACTGCTTACAGCTGGATCCTTGCAAGAAAGAGCACGTCCTCATGTGCCACGGCAGCAGCTGCAGCCCTAGCTTGCCTGGTTCACCCTCATCCAGTCTGTCACTGATTCAGAACAGAGATAGCTTCCTTGGATTTAGATGGAAAGGAGAAATGGTTGGGAGTTCAGGAGTGCCTTATGTGTTTGTATTTATTCTTCGCTCTACCCTCTGAATCTGCATTTTCATGGTTTTAGACTACACATGGTTGGCAAAAAATAGCTTAAACTCCTCATTTTCAGTATTAACCCTCACCCTGTCTTTCTCTCTGCAGATCAGGAGCTATGAATGCTCCCTTGCTCCATTCCTATATATCAAGCCCACATGTCTATTCTTTCTGGAAGGTCAAGCATAACTTTCAAAGGTTCTAGGCTAGATGTTTTGATCTTATTAGGCAATGCACCTGCTCCAGCTTGATGTATTCTTATGTTTGAAAGAACAAAACTGTCCACGGGATATGAAAGTAATGGAGATCAAGCTTGATTTCCTTTTCTGTTTCAGTGAGCAGTTGTGCATGCAAGCAGCACCCTCCCAGCACCACCATCAGTGCGAAACCATTAACTCCTTATGCAAGTCGTCTCCCAAGTCCTCTAATGGTGCAGTTTATCTTACCTCTTTTTAAAACACCATAGCATTTGCCAGGTAACTTGTGTACCTGGACTTACCAACACTCCTGGGGAAGGGGAGAATATAGTTTGTTTGCCTATTTACACAGATTTGCTTTCCATATGAAAGCTTAACATCGCTTGTTGCTTAGCATTAAGTTTCAGCACAACACAAAAGGTGGTCAGAGGGTGAGAGGACTGTGCTTTCCACTCCCAGTTGGAAGCAGGAAGGCCCCACACCAGTGCACATTTCTACTGTTCATTTGAGTGTTTCCATTGTACATTGTCATACCTTGACAGATCTGAATGCCAAAGCTAAGGAACATTTGGCCGCTGTTTGGTAAAGCCATGCACTTTCTGTACCTGCACATCTTTGGATATTTAAGGCAACACCCAGCCCCAAAGGGGGCTCTGATTTCAGGACAGGCAAAGTTTCTGAAAGGCAGTGGCTCCCAAGCAGCAGGTATTGGCCCAAAAGTTACTCAAAGATGACTCATTTAAAGCAGCCCTCAATTATGTTTTTTTAATAATTTCATTAACAGAATAATGGGAAATCACTGTCACCAAAATGGCTACTCTGCATTATTGCTTATCTCCAAGGTTTTACAAAATTGCCTTAAAATTACATTTTTTAAAAAACACGAAACAGTATCTCTTGAGCTTTCATGCAAAGATTATGTTTTGCCACCACCACCCTTCTTGTTGCCTCATTTTCGCCAATCCTGTTGGCAACAACATTATTTTTTTAGAAATGCCGCTGGGGAGGTAGAAGAAATAGGGGGAAGAGAAAAGAGCAGCTCTGGCCAGAGATTGTGTACAAAGAAGATAGCAAGGAAAAGTGATGAACACACCAGTGGTTTCATTCAGCACTAAAAATATTCACCTCATTGTTTTAGCCTCAGGTATCATATTATGAGCTGGAAACCTCATAGTGGTGCTCTAGACCAGCAACTTTATACCCTATGCCATCCCAAACCCACCTGAACACTACCAACTCCTCCCAAGACATCCCACATCCCTTTGTTGCATTTCTTAAATCAGCCATAATGTCTTTTTTTTAAAGTCCTCGGTTGCAAGTCAACTCATACATCTACTACTACATGTTGAATCCTGCCCCAGGCTCCCTTCCATGTTCCTGACACTTATACAGTCCCTCAGTTGCAATACTGAAAATGTCTACTGCAATCTTAGAACACTTCGTACCAAATGCTTACCTCAGTGTACCTGCTCATCATTGTTCTTGGACCCAGACCTCTCCAAACTGAGGCCATCGCCTCCTCTTTTCCCCACAGCAGAAAAAAAGTAAGTTTTGCTTTCTCTGTCCTAATATTAGAACCTGGGAGGATCCAATGAAGTGGAATATGGGGATATTCAGGATAGACAAAAGGAAGTCTAGGCAACACTCAGGCGCTCTGTGGAAGGACGTGTGGATCCAGAATTGGCCTCCACAGTCACTTATGGACTCATTGTTAAAACTGTGTTGATGGAAGACAATCTTACTCGGCTACGAGTGATCGCCAAAGAAGAAGAACAAGAAGAGGGTCATTTGATGAAGGATGACCGTATAAATATTGATATCATGGTTTCATAAAAATATGGAATTCACTTCCTCAAAATGTGGTGATGGCCACCAATCCCGATAGCTTGAAAAGGGGAGTAGACAAGTTCACGGAGGAAAAGGCCAACAAGGACTATAAGTCATGGCAACTATGAAAGACGACTGAAACCAGAGGCACCATGCCTTTGAATACCAGCTGCTGGAGAATGTGGTTATACTCATGTCTTGCTTGTGGGCTTCCCATAGGCATCTGGTGTGGAAACAAGATACGGGATACTTTTCATCTGATGAAGCAGGGCTCTTCTTAGAGGAACATAAGAGCCCTACTGGATCAAGCCAAAGCCCCATCTAGGCCAGCATGCTGTTCTCATAGCGACCAGTCATATGCCTCTGCAGCCCACAAAAAGCACTCGCTCCATATGCTATTCTATATAAAGGGCTTGGAACCATCCAAGTTGTAATAACCTGTGAAACTGGGTTTTTTTGGGGGGGGGGCATTAAAGCTGCATTGGAGAAGCCCTGTAAAGGCAAGGGAGGAACATGTCACGGTTGGACGCAGAAGAATGGTGGGAGGAACTAGCTGGGGAACCCCCAAAGGCAGCTCAGAGCCTGGAGAGTCGTGGTGGGATGATGATGAGTGACTAGAGGGAGAACAGTGGGAAGAGGAAGTGTCAAAAGCTGAAGAGGTAGTAGGGTTTGGTGAGCTGGGAGAGTCTGTGGCAGAGAGAAGGCAAGAATCAGAGTCGGGAGCTGAAGCAGGGGAGGAGAGAGGCCAAGAGGCAGAGATTAGTCAGTCAGGCTGGTGAAGAGGCATGGGAATCTCCCCCTCCTGCTGCAACAAGCTCCCCTCCCTACTTGTCTCCAAGAACCAGAAGTGGCATAAAAAACGGTGGAGACGTTGGCTGCAAGCAGGCGTAGTCTCCAATTGCTTGGGAAAAGCCCTGGAGAGGAGGGGACTTAAGACGGCTGTGAGGTGGTGGGGACTTTCCATCTCGGCAACTGATTTTCATGGAGTAAGACTACTGGGAATGAATTGCTCTGCTTATTAGGCCTGATGTTCAACCGAGTCTGTAGAGATTGTGATTTTGCTAATAAAGAGTTAACTCTAACTTTTTGATTACTGACCACCACGCTCCTGTGACAGAGTGGAAAAGTTATCCTTATATTCCAAGATTTCACTCCCTTGGTAAGCGCTTGATTTCCCAGGATGATGACATATAGTCCTGGAAAAGCAGCATTTAGATTACTACTATCTGCACCTTCCAGAAAGAGTTGAAGACATTTTTTGCTCCAACAGGCTTTCCCAGCTGGACAAATGGATCTTCACCACAAGTGTCCATTTGTTAGTTTTGTTTTAAATGTATTTGCTTTTATGTTTTTAACTGTTTTGAATGATTTTATGTGTAAATCACCTAAGCTGGTGGTTTAGAAGGTGACTAATAAATAATAATAATCCCACACACTGAGGCTGAACCTACTTAAATTCACCTATTAAATGCTACTGCAATTTGCTCTCCCAGGAGAAAAAGCAGAGAGTTGCTCAGATGAAGCTTAATGGCTTGATACAGAACTCCAATAATACACTATTGGAATTCTATATCCAGGCTTATATATAGGCTTAAAGTTACACAATACTGAGATTAGATGACGATACAACTATTGATGTTCTGTGGTACATGTCCAACGTGATTAATTACTCAATCAGTGATTTACAATATGCACATCACATTGTGTTTACCCGTTTTGCTGTATGAAGGTGGGGCTGAGACCTGAATTCTCTCTTTTGTCAAGCTCAGATCCTAGGATTACATGCTTATATACCAGAGACAGTAATACAGTGGTACCTTGGGTTAAGTACTTAATTCGTTCCGGAGGTCCGTTCTTAACCTGAAACTGTTCTTAACCTGAAGCACCACTTTAACTAATGGGGCCTCCTGCTGTTGCCGTGCCGCCGGAGCCCGATTTCTGTTCTTATCCTGAAGCTAAGTTCTTAACCTGAAGCACTATTTCTGGGTTAGCGGAGTCTGTAACCTGAAGCGTATGTAACCCGAAGCGTACGTAACTCGAGGTACCACGGTACGCAACACATTAGATAAGCAAAAAAATGTATTGTTAAAAAGAAACTAAGGGCATAATTAGATACAAAACACAAACTATAGCAAAATGTGTGTTGGTGGAGGCTAAAATATACCTCATGTCAATTTAGTCAAGTTATGTTAGGTGCTAAAACGAAGGGCAGAACTTCCTTGCCTTATGTCATATTTAGCCCCACATTCTGAGCAGGAAAAGCGTGAATTAATTGCAACCTCTGTCTCAAGAGTAGCACTGACAGCATCTGACAGCCAAGCAAGAGATTTGCTCAACACATGTCTTTCCTAAGGACACCAAATGAAACGTATGAGTGATTTGTGGCCCATTCATTTCTAGCGGGTCAAGCTCCACCCCCACCCCCCAGCTCAATTATCTGAATGATTCCAATGATTGTGAGGTCACGGAGCTTGATTATTATTAGTATACATTCAGTTACACACGTTGCTAGCTTTAACAATGGGAAGTATCTAAGGCATCTGAATATGCAATGTCTATGAAAAGGATATAAATGTCAGAATCCACAGAACAAAGGAATGGCTTTGATGGCTCCGTTTGTCGTGGCACAAGCATGCAATCAGAGTCAGGCAGAATCAGCGAGGTGTGTAGAACATCTTATCTTGGAGGACCTTTGAAGTCCCAGTGACCTGCATGCAACAGGCTAGGCTAAGACAAAGACCTCACTATAAGCTAATGCTAGACTCCCAACACAGAACTTTTGGGATGCGTCTAGTATGAAGGTTATAGAAAGAAGACTAGTTTCCATTTTATTGTTGTTTTTCTAATGTAAGTTTCTCTTTATCTCACAATTCTAAAGGAAGTGTTGTACAGTGGTGCCCTGGTCGATTCACATTATTATTGAAATCAAAATAGTGACAAAAGTGTATCTTCTTCTTTTTGATATGGTTCTACTAGTGCAGGTCCGCAGCAAAAGAGACAGCCTGGTTAGGTGTCTGGTTCACGAAAAATGCTAAGCCACAGTTGAGGGTCCCCAATATGGAGTCAGAAGCATTCTTCCAAGGAAAGGAAAGAGGCCAGTATCTGGCCTTCCAGCTACCTGCTAGAAAACTCTTTGGAGAAGAAAAATACAAACGCTGTTGATGAACCGTTCATTTGGGGGAAGCAAGAGAGAGCCAGGGTGCACATTTTCCTGGAAATTTTGTTTTGAGGAAGTGTATAAGTGTTACCTGACTTGAAATTGTTGGGTGCTTTTTTGTTGTTGGCTGCTTGGGTATGGAGTGCTTTTGGTTGTATGTGTTTTCTGTTCGGTGGGGAACAGTGCCTGCTATTTTGTGGGGGCATGTTTTATGCCGTGTGTGCAGTGCCTGTTTTGTTTTGTTTTTTTAATTGCCCGTGTTTTGAGGGGGGTGTTGCTTGTTTGTTTTGCTTGTGTCTGTGATGTCACAGATATTTTGTGGCGACATTGACAATTTATTATTTTTCCAAATGTGTCCCTGGACCCCAAAAGGGAGGGAAACCCTTGTTTAAATCATGGTTTGCTCAACGAGCCATTGCAGTTAGCCACGGGTTGTCCCACAAACCAAAGAAAATATGCCTTGCTTCTCCAAAGCTTGTTTCATCTTTTAGCTACTCTCACCTCATGACTTGGCATTGGGTCGGGTGGCAAAACAAACAATGGGTAAGGAAGGGTGCTGGATTGACATTTTAACACAAAGCCATTGCTAAAACACAGTAAGGGGAGACATTCAATTTTGCACCAAGGTGATATTTCCATCATGGCCAGCAGTTTGGCTTGAATCCCCAACTCTTCCTCTGTGAGCTGTTCCGGAGTTTCTCCCAACCTCTTCCTCCACAAGCCAATTTCAGAGGGTGCACAGTGTGTGTGGTGTGGGGGGGAAGCCTGTTGCACAAGCACAAGTCGTTGCCAAGAGCTTCCACTGACAGGACTCATTAGAGGAATCCAATGGCAACAACGCTCAAGGTCATGGTTTGTTGGCAGGTAAAAAAACGCAGTTAAACCAGTAACCAGGGCTCAGACAAACCTAACGGTTTAATACACAATGGCATAGCAGAATGTGCAGCCCAGGTGTCTGGTCTCTGTGATGCACAGATTTAGGAAGTTGCTACCCCTTTTAAAGCCTGCGTGAATCTTTAAGCAAACAACTGCTTTTGTAAGCAGATTGACCTTTTAAAAAATGGTTCACAGCTTCTTTTCAAAGTCTCAATGGGAAACCATTCCAGGCAAGACTGAACTCCTTGTACCCATCAACAATCCCAGCACACCAACCAGCTTCAGCCCTGGATTGGGAGTGCTGTGGGTTAAACCACAGAGCCTAGGGCTTGCCAATCAGAAGGTCGGTGGTTCAAATCCCCGCGATGGGGTGAGCTCCCATTGCTCGGTCCCTGCTCCTGCCAACCTAGCAGTTTGAAAGCACCTCAAAGTGCAAGTAGATAAATAGGTACTGCTCCGGCGGGAAGGCAAACTGCATTTCCGTGCGCTGCTCTGGTTTGCCAGAAGTGGCTTAGTCATGCTGGCCACATGACTGTACGCCGGCTCCCTCGGCCAGTAAAGTGAGATGAGCGCCACAACCTCAGAGTCAGCCACGACTGGACCTAATGGTCATGGGTCCTTTTACCTTTACCTGCAGACAATGGGGTGATGCTGCACATCTATGAAATGGAAGCAGCCTCACAGTCTTTCTATGGCCCCTGGCATTATTATTACGCATTATGTGTATTATATACCACCCTTCATCTGAAAATCAAAGGGTGGCTTACAACATAACACAGGTAATAAAAACACAAATACAAACAAAAAGAGGGAGAACAACCAGAGGAAGAGAACAGCCAGAGACTAATCTGAGAGCAAGAATGGAGGACTTTCTGGGTTCACAATTAAGGTTTAGCCACTATGGTACACTATGAAAGTTCTCAAAAGGTTTGCCTCTGGGTGAAGAGAAGGATGTAATTTTTGTAGAGCAATGAGTTTGGTTTGGAAACTTCCTCACCATACTGAGTACAGACAGGGCCCCTCCCTCTTTCTAGAGTATTGTGCCTAACAGTGATGATTGGGAACATGGTTCTAAGACACCCTACCAAAAGCCAGTTCCGGATGGTGCCAACTGGCTGCCACACACAACTTTGCCCAAACACCTCTCTAGATCCCTGGAGCTGATCTGCAACTTTTAAAAGAGCTACCTTAAAAAAAAAAAAGTAATAGGTGAAGCATTAATGCATTAATAGCATGCATGCAACATTTTCAAAGCGGGTATGTCCTCTAGAATACATGTATAGGGAGAAGCAAACATTCTTCATTGCTATGCACGTCTGCCATTCAAACAGTGAAAGTACAAAGGAGCCAAGCTTGCAATATGGATGTAGAGCCCACAGTGACCTCTCTCATGCTATTGAGTCTTCCACAACTCCCAAACCGTGCTCTCAGGGCTATGTTACTGTTTGTTTGCCAGGTTGCTTAGTACTAAATTTGACATCAATACAAATTTTCATGGTTCAGGGCTGATGAAATGCATTCAGCCATTGATGTGAAATAGCACATGCCATCTCTCACCAAGTTTAAAAGAGAGAGAGAGAGAGAGAATGAATCAATTAATGGTGGCTTCAGATAAGTGGAATTCTCAAGGCAAAATATTTTTTTCAAGTTCAAAGCACCAGAGGCACTTTCCTTTGTCATGCCACCCACTTCAGTACGCATACCGTAATTCCATTTCCATATCCACTTCTTCAACTTGCTTGGGATTTTATACTTATTCATATCATATCTGCCCTATTCTCTCTTTGCTACGCTAAGTTTTCTAAGATTTTTTTTCCCACGCTTATGGAAGAAGTTTCATGCTTCACTTCTTTTAATCATTTGTGTTGCCCTTTTCTAAACATTTGCTTCTTCTTGTATTATTTTTAAGACTGGTGACCAGAAATCCAGATGTCACCCTAATGACACACCACTGACTGATATTATCTGGATGTCTACGGCTATTTTGTATCAAGCCATGCACCTGATTATTTTACATTTCCCCAAATCATGGAGAAATTCACATTCCTTGCTACCTGTTTTCATTATCCAGCAACTTTAAATGCATATACAGTGGTGCCTCGCAAGACGAAATTAATTCGTTCCGCGAGTTTTGTCGTCTTGCGATTTTTTTCGTCTTGCGAAGCACGGTGTCGGGAAAGTTTTGGAAAAGCTTCAAAAATCACCAAAGTCTTTAAAAACCTCAAAAAGGCTACCACACCGCGTTCTATGAGTTGCTCCTCGAAGTCAAGTCGCAACTGTATTAACGGTGTTAAGAAAAAGGAAACAAACTTGCAAGACGTTTCCGTCTTGCGAAGCAAGCCCATAGGGAAAATCGTCTTGCGAAGCAGCTCAAAAAACAAAAAACCCTTTCATCTAGCGAGTTTTTTGTCTTGCGCGGCATTCGTCTTGCGAGGTACCACTGTAGCTCTTTCTAAAAGTTGCACCCCAAAATTATAGTCTGAGAGCAAAGGGGAAAGTGAGCAATTCATGCTAATAACTTTAGATGCTGGAAGCTGAGGTTTGGCAGAATCAGTCTATTATGCTCCAAGCCTACTGAGCAATAGGGTCTAAAATAGATTCCTTCCCAAACTAATAATATGGCAAAACAGAATTCTAACAGCCACACAATTCTTCTGGGGAACCTGAACTTCCCATGGGTTATAGGACAGAACACTTCATGCTCCTCAAAGAAATACACATTGCCCCCCAAAAGTTAATCGCCTTCTTCCCAAGAAGCAAAGATGTAACATATTCCGGATTTCATTTCACACGATGATTATGCCACTGGAAATTGAAGATTAAATTAGTCAGGATGTAAAATTGCTTATACTGAATACTGGAAGGGGGAAAGAAAGCTAAAGCAGCAGGTGAGACAATCTGAAATGGCTTACACCTCTGGATGCGTTAATTAAATCCAGCCCAAGTCAATGAAAGAAATAATGAAAAGAACATGGAAACCTCTCCTTTGATTTATGATTTCAATCTATTACTGTAGATTCTCCTTCCCCAAGTCCAAGAGGACTGTTGCATCAATAAGAACGAGTCTTCGTCTGTATCAGAAGAGGGCCACAGCAGATGCCACAAGGTGGAGCTGTCTTATAATTAGTCTTATTTATAATTGGTCTTATAATTGGCCCTTCAATTATTTTAAGACAAGGAAGGTGATTTTTTTAAAAAACAACCCAACTCTTGCTCACTCAGAATGTTCCACTATTAATAAGAGGTTTCCATATATGCTTTAACTAGCTTTGAACATTTGCTTCCAGCTTAAAACTAAAGCATTGTTGCTTGCCTTCTAGAGGCCTGAGGGAGTTTCTCTCTTCGCTGGCAAATAGCCACACGCGATTCCCACAATGAGTTCTGTATTGTGGTCCCTCAAACCCTGCTCAACAGCCAGCTGCAGAGATGAGGCAAGGCACTTTGCTGAATTTTTTTGAGGGGGCTTCAAATCTTATCAAGATAGATATTCCTTCAACATGAACAACAGCAACACACTAGCCAACAGTTTTCCCAACGTCATGTTATAGGGGGGAAATGAGGTTTGGCTTTTACAGCCCATCTCCCCATCAAGGGACCCGGCATCCCATAAATCCATTATCGATCGGTTAAGAATGAGTGGAAACAGGAACCAGTTGAGGAAAGCAAGGGAGATCTTTATTTTCTCTTGCAACAGAGTTCACTGCTCCCCTTGCAAGGAGGTGAGGGGATACAGAACAAAGGTGTGAAACAACTTTTAAAGACATTAGAAATTGCCCCAAGCCTTAGTGAAAGACCACCTAAAAGCACATGGATGTAGCGGAGGCTGGGAGGAGTTGCCCCACCTAAATCAAGTAAATAAATAAAAATACTTAACTAACTGATCAATTGCACAGCAATTAACTCTGTTCTGCCCCCACCCCAAAATAAAGCTTCCCCCACCTAAAATCAGCCCTGGTTACGCCCATGCAAAAGCATCATACAAGTGTTATAGAAAGAAGCAGTCTACAATGTAAATTTGAGACTATGGACTCAGTTAAAGGTAAAGGGACCCCTGACTGTTAGGTTCAGTAGCGGACAGCTCTGGGGACGACTCACTTTATTGGCTGAGGGAGCTGGCGTACAGCTTCCGGGACATGTGGCCAGCATGACTAAGCCACTTCTGGCGAACCGGAGCAGCACACGGAAACGCCGTTTACCTTCCAGCTGGAGTGGTACCTATTTATCTACTTGCACTTTGATGTGCTTTCGAACTGCAAGGTTGGCAGGAGCACGGACCGAGCAACAGGAGCTCACCCCGTTGCGGGGATTCGAACCGCCAACCTTCTGATCAGCAAGCCCTAGGCTCTGTGGTTTAGACCAGAGCGCCACCCATGTCCCTCACGGACTCAGTTACACAGCTGCAAATAAAACGTTTTAAATGTATTGTAAAGTGCAATACACAAATGTGACACTAGATGAGCTATGCCAAATTCAATGTATTTTTCAAAACGTTTTTTTAAAAAGCATTTTCACAGAGTTTTTTTTATGTTTGTATATTTCACTTATGACTTGTCTCCTGTCTGTATAATAATGCTTGCTGATTCCTGGCCAGTCTAAACCATTTTTTAGGAATGGTGAATACCTTGACTACAGAATCCATTGTCACTGAAATATACTCG